TGGGCAATGGGTATCATAGGCAAGGGGAGGCTGTGCCTCCCCAAACAACCTACCATGGCCCCACCCCCAGGCCAGCTTCCCTCCAGGACTGGGGGCGCGCTCCAGGGCCGGTGGGGCTGTGGCCGCGCTGCCCAGGGGCTGTGAGGGCTGAGGCACATGGGGGCTGGGGCCTCACTCCCCCCACCCCTGGCCGTCTGGCACTGGGGGGCCGTGGTGGGCGTGCTTTGGGCTCCTGTGGGGGAGGGAGAGGGAAGGGGACACATGGGGAGGGGATGGGGGTTAGCCTCCCATGGAGCTGGACGCTGGGAAAAGTGGCGGCTAAGACAGTGTCTGAGTTGGTTTGAAAGGGTGTGATTTTTTTCCAGGCAACGTCGATTTCATTGTACACACGCCAACTGATCGGGAAAATATTTCCATTGCTAATCATCCAAATGGGCAGGGAGGTGAAGGAGGAAAAAGGCTGCTGAGAACTGAAAAGTTTGATTTAAAAAAAAGATTCACTTTGTCAACCGCACAGGACAAAAATGTACAATTGTGTTCAAAGGGTCTAAAGCTTCCACTTTTTTTTGCCTGTCAGCGTCTCTCATGACATAACGATGGTCTGACCAACCCTGAATTGCTGCCCTTCGCCTGTGAGCGTTGCCCTAGAGAAAAGCTGAAAACGCTCGAAACCCACAATTGTGCAAAACTGTGAACATTTAAACAGAGCAAAATAGAAAATAGCTTAAAAATGAATGTTGCTATCCTCGGTCAGAATTATATATAAAAAACAAACAAACTTGTCTTTAGCCAAGCCTACCAAGGCGTACAGAAGAGCATAAAGGAGGTGGCGGAGTGTGTGACGCTGTGGAGCTTTATGGATATTGGGAGGCATTGTGGGAGGGGGTTTGTGGTAAGAGAAATGTCCCCTTCCCCCTCTGTCTGTCTCCAGCTCTCGCTTGCACTGGAAGCTGCCAGGTGCAGGGACATCTTTTCTTTCTGTGTTTGTACAGCACCTAGCACAATGGGGCCCGGTCTGTAACTTGGACTCCTACACGCTACGGTGACACACACAGTAATGCAGTAAAGGCCCTTTTGCGCTGCCCAGAGGCGTTTCTGTGACTAAGAACCAGGCCCCCTCTTTCCCCTGCAGATACTGGGGGGTGGTTAGTAGCCAGACACAGGGGCCCGTTGCCACTGAAAAGGCATCTGTTAAACGGTGGCCATCCAGCCCCATGAAGCCCCATGGCAAGGAGAGTTACGTGAGCGCGTGGGAGTTTAACGAGCCAGCCACCAATGACACAAAACCCAAGGACGTCGTACGGAGCGATCTTTATCCAGATTGCGCTGAACATGGAGAAGAGCTCACGCTGCACAGCTGCGATTCCCAACAGAGCCGCGGGGAGGGACCCGACGGAGGGAATTACAAGGGGATTTGGGGACCTAATTCCCTTCAGCGCCTCGGAAAACCCCATCCCAGAAACCCAGCAGCTGCCCCTCCGGCAGCCCCCGACAAAACTCCGCCTCCAACCCCCAAACTCCTCCCCCGCAGGAGTCCCCCAGCCAGGGGCTCCGTGGCCCAAAGAATTAAGGGGGCCCCGTGCCGGGTGTGACTGCTCCTGGGGGGCGCTGGAGCTACTGGGGGGCTGGTTCCCAGCCTGGGCAGCCTCCAGAGCCACCGAGCGCCGTGAGAAACAGGCCGGGAGACCCGCTGCAGTGAGATTCTCTGGCCAGGTCCCAGCCGGCTCTTTATGGGCGCGCTGAGACATCAGTGCTTCGGGGAGAGGAGCGGTCCAGGGGCTCGGAGAGATGGGAGCCCTCTGGGGACACAGGGGTTGGGATGTTGGGGGCGAGAGAAGCCCGTTTTCTCATTCCCAGGGGGACACTCCCCGTCCCCCCACCCCCTTGTCTCAAGAACAGAGTCTGAGCGGGGATCCCTGCACCCAGAAGTAAGGGAGGATCCTCTCCCCATTGAAAGAGGCTGGAGGGAGGGAGAACAACAGGGACTTCCAATCAGCATCCAAAAATGTCACCTCCCCCGCTTCGTAATCTAGAGAAACCCCGATCCTCTTTATGGTATCCCACGAGATCAAACGGGTGGCAGGGGAGGAGAGAGTATCGTACACCTTACAATGCGCCTTACTCCCGTGTATCCCCATAGCCCAGATCCCCTCCTCGGGGCTAGGGCTGATCCGTCCCTTCCTCCTCACCGACTCTCTGGCCACCCCCACAGCCCAGTACTTTCCATTCCCCACCTCCACCTCCCAGTAATGTCGTCCCGAGGTGAACCCCTCGGAGCCCAGCACGCAGTGACGTGCGTCGAATCTCTCCGGCATGTCAGGCAGGTCCTGCAACGCGTCTGCGCGTCTCACGCTTTTCCCATCCTCAGACACGACGAGGATGGGATGGGCCGTGGCTGGATCCAGAGTCACGTTCGCTGGGGGGAGAGAAAAGCAGAGCGTTAGGGGCAGAGCCCAGCCCTGGGGGAGGCTGGGACCGTTCCTCACACTCCCCAGCAGCCCTGTTCTGGCTGGGACTCTCCTGGATCCCGGGGGGCTCCCGGGCACCTCACTGATCCCTCTGTCTCACACCCAGACACAGAAGGGTAGAGACATGGAGGAAAGAGACTGAATCTGCAGGTAGGGGAGCCGAGAAGGAGGCTGGACACTGATTTAACCCCCCTAGGGATCCCCCTCCCCCAGCTGGTCCTTCCTTCCTTGTCCTGGGAGAAGAGGGGAAGAGAGGGCACTGGGGAGGAGCTGCTCCAGACCAGAGAGTAAGGTCAATATCCTGTGAGGTAGCCCCTCGCCCAGCCCGAGAGAAGGGAGCCGCATGAAGGGAAAGGTCAGAAAGACCCCAGCCCAAGAGGAAGGGAGGATGCTGGAGAAGAACCCTCACTCCACTCCTTCCTCTTGATTTAATACACAACAGGCCCGGGAAAGCCTCCCAGAACCCCAGGGCAGAGTTAAGGGTGTCTGGATACTGGAGAGTGAAAACATTTCTGTTCCTCGTCGTGAGCATGCACCGAGCAACGAGGCCGGTGTCAGGACTGTTTGTCTGACGTCGGCTTGGGATCTCCTCAAGGCAGGATGTGTTTATTGTTAGCCGGGGTGTGTTTGACTTGTTACTTTATTGACACGTTCAGGAAGATGTTCCCGTGAGAATTTGCTCCTAATTATCAAGAAAATCTCCACCAGGAATCTCACCCTCTCTGTGTGATCGGACTGGTTCCCCCTGTTTTTACTCCAATTCAGATGGCAAAGTGTCCGCGAGGGAGGAGGATAAAAAAAGACGAGATTTCATGCTGTCGTGTCTGTAACCAGATCCCCACCCTGAACTGACTTATCGTCACGACAAATCCCGAAGGGAAGTGGTCGCCTTGCAGATTAAACTCCATCCACATCAATCCCTAGCTAAATCTTTAACGTGGCCCAGCCGGAGAGTCACCGTACGTCCATCCGTGGTCATCTGATCACACCAGGTTAGTATCCAGGCTTGTTGGTCAGCCTGAGATAGAATTTGGGGTTTGGCTTTTCGATACTCTTATCTCTTATACTAAGGAGGTCGAGGTCAAGCAACCAGTCAGGAGGGGGGCAAAGGGGGTTGGAGTGGGAGGCGTAAGAAACACTACAAGCCACAAAGAAAAGCCTGGCCTTGGCCAGACACAACCTCACTCCTTACCCCTCCCATGGGGTACAAAAGAGGTGGAATGAAGACCCCAGACTCACGACCACCCAAAATGGAACATGACCCTAAGTTGTAAGGGGTGAGAGTAGGGGCGTGCAGTGCAGGTATATTTGGGCCTGCTAAGGAGGAGGAGGTGGGATAGGGACATAGACAAAGGCTCTGCGGCGTCCCAGAGCTGGGAAGAGGGATAGGGGTAAACGCTCTGCGG